GTCTCGAACCCGCGGGCTCAGGCAATCCACTCACCTCAGCCTCCCAAAGGCGCAGGATTACAGGCTGAGCCACCGAGCCCGGCTGTCTTTTTCAATTTCTTTCATCGATGTTTTATAGTTTTTAGTAAACAAGTCTTTTACCTCCTTGGTTAAATTTACACCTAAATATTTTGCTCTTGTTGTTGCTATTGTAAGTGTAATCATTTTCTTATTTCCTTTTTGGATAGCTCATTGTTAGTACAATAGAAATACCACTGATTTTTGTATATTGATTTTGTATTCTACAATTTTACTGAATTCCTGTATCAATTCTAATAGTTTTTTGATTGGAATTATGCTAAATGAGATAAGCCAGGCACAGAAAGACAAATACTGCATGATCTCACTGTATGTGAGCTCTAAAAAAGTTGATTCCATAGAAATAGGGAGTAGAATAATGGCTACCAGAGGCTAGTGGGGTGGAGAGGGAGGCAATGAGAAGCTGTTGGTCAAAGAATACAAAATTTTAGATAGACAGGAGAAATAGGTTTTGAGATTTATTGCACAAAAGAATGACTATAGTCAATAATAATATATATTTTAAAATAACTGAGAATAAATTTCAAATGTCTCCCCATAAAAAAGATAGGTAAGGTGTTGAGTATTTTAATTAGCTTTATTTAATAATTGCACATCATATACACATATCAAACCATCACATTGTACCCAATAAATGTATGCAATTATAATTTATCAATCAAAAATAATACTAATAATAATTTTTTTAAGTATACAGTCAGAGAAATTTGGGTTACAACCCAGTGCTGTACTATGTGTCATCTCAAGGATTGATAATGACAGAAGCTACCTTAGAAGTTTGTTGCATAAAATAAGATAGTACATGAACATTTCTCTCTAGCTCACCAAAGCACCTTCCACAGTACTTGACAAATATTTATCGACTGGCTGACACATGATAAGGCATTTAGTATAATGTCTGGTACCTAGTAAAGGGTCATTAAATATTCATCATTGTTGTTTCTGGCATTATTACTATAGTCACTGTTACGGAGTTTACAAACAGTAAATGTGAAAATTACTATATGTGGCTGACAGCCCAGGAGGAAGCAGTACTCTTGGCTATAAAGTTAATGCTCTTCAGGAAGACCCAAATTCAGATAGCAAACATTATCTGTTAGCCCAAATAATTTACTTTTATTACTCTACCTCTGATTTATCCTAAACTTCTCTAGGTTGCAAGTGACCAAGCCACAGTGTAAACATAAGGAGCTGAGATGGCAGGGATTATATTTCTCTAAAATCAGGCAATACCTAGGTTTACTTATGAGTGGAAAAATTCACTCATGGCTACCATGGCATCTCATTTCAACTCTCTGACCTACTAGTCCTCAAATGTGGCCTGAGTAAGCACAATGTTTGCATATATATTTGTATCAGTCTGATCTCTCTTGACCTTACTTATCCAAAAATAAATAAATAAATATTAATTCAGAGTCATTCCCTTATTATCTCCTTGAGAAAACACATTTTAACTGTAGGCTTGCAAAGCTGAAACCTAGTTTCTTTTCTCTAGGCCCCTAAGCAGACAGTTGCTAATGTTTATCCATTTCTCTCTTTCTCTGTTGTGTCATCAGGCTGTCATGGTGTCCCTGCTGACAGATTACTCACCTCAGCTCCAGAAGCCTAAATTTTGATGCTGTGAAGCTTGTCAAGAGAGATACAACATTCTTCAATAACAAAATGAGTCAGTTTATAGGGGAAGGAGAAGAGAATCTAAGAAATAAACAAATCCCTAACACATGGTATGGGTGAACTGTATGATATTGCTTTACATTGTGAAACCTTCCTGAAGCCCTTAGTTTAAGTGCCGATGCACTGTAATACATGACTTGACTTGGTTTAAACTCTTCTTCTAATTCAGTTTCTGAGTTACATTTAGAAACTATATTAATTATCATATATGTTTGCTTCAACTAAACATAAAATACTGTGTTCATAACACATAATGTCTAAGCTATTAAATATGATCTATGCTTATCATCTTAATAAATTATCATCCACGCTAATTTATAAGTAAACATTTACCAGGCAGTCAGCTTCTGGTAGATCTGTGGACTGTGTTCATGTCCCCCAGGACCAACAAGAAAACTCAATGATCCATCTTGCTGATGTGGTACAATTTTCAGACCAATGAGACAGGCAGACATTCACTTATAGAGACAAATCGTGAAATTCTTAAAAAAACAACTATCGCTGTACCCAAACTCTGGAGTTTTTTCATATCATTTGTTGGGAGGTAATGGGGGAAGTACTTCAAGAGCATTCATTTCTTCTCTGTAATGTAACAAGCTGAAAGAAGCATTTGTGAGCAAGTGGTAAACACTTAGAGAAACATTTTTTGGGTTCAAATATTCCAGCAGGAAAAATTTAATATTTTCACATCTGTGCTTATCATGTATCTATTCACACAACATGCTCAATATTTCCGTAAATCTACTACTTGCCACATTTTAGCCACTCTTTTTCCTCCAGTTTTTCTTCAAGATAATAAAAAGTTGCATTATTGAATTATTATAATGAAATTAAAATTAGGTTTTTTTCTTGAGGATGACCATATTTGTATTATTGAATTATTGTGATATAATTTTAAAATTTGTAGTTAAAATGTTAAATAACATAAGTGAAACTTTTAAAACTACACATTTTATAAAGAACAAAATAACGTAATTTCTTTTACATTTTACCTCTACTATTAGAAAAATGTTTCCAGGCTGGTTGACTGATATTTTTCAGCAGACAGTTCTGACTTAACTGAGTAAGCAAGAGATGAATTATATACTAGATTTGCAAAGAAGATGCACTAAAACAAAATTTGTGTGTGGGGGGGAAGTGCTCATGATGTTACAGGAAAAAAAAATCAATTTTTTCAGTAAACATCAAAGGTGACTTTCATGTCCATGGTAATTTATTGGAAGCACTTAAGAAAGAGAGAATGGAGTTTAGTGGCATTTCTTCTTTCAGCGGAGAGTAGAGGAATTATTTAATCAGAAGGTGTCATGTGGATTGTAGAGCCTCACACTCAAGCTACTTACATAGAAAGAAGTATCTTTCCACTTACCAAATGGCCCCCATGATAATGAGTTTTCATCCCTTTCCTGGTTATTCTGTGAACCAAATGGATGGATGGTATAATCATCTTTCCTCAATCAGAAAGAACTTGTAATCATTTTCTTGCAAAGATGTAGTGTCACTTTTTCCCCAAAAAGTCCCACAGTTTTTTTAAATGTACACACAATTTAACCTCCTTCTCAACCCAATCCTGTAGGAATTTATTTGCTTTCTTAACCTTTCATCTTAAGAAGACTTTATTTATATTATTAGGAAAAAAATGAAACAGAAGAGGAAAATTTGACATTAATTTTTGCAAAGCTATTTTCATTCCCCCTTTCTTCTTACCCTTATTTCTTTTCCTATGTAATGACTGCAACTCCCAATATTAGCAAAAACTCTAGCAATGATGCTTGGGTCCTTCATGTGCATAATACATTTTACCCACTTAATATAACTAGCCAGAGTTCTTTCCTTCCAGGCTTTCTCCACTGAAACATTGGGAGGTCAAATCACAAGTGATTGCGATACAATGATTTCAGTGTCATGCAAAAATCATCAGTTTTTTTTCAGTGATAAGTTTCCAGGTACTTTATAAAAATAATTCAGTGTCAGATATTTCTAATGAATATTGTGCTAATGACTTGACTCTTGTAAAGTCCTTGAGTAGAAAGATCTGCGAGAGGATCAGATTGGCAATACCACCTTAGATCTTCTATGCAAATGGCCCTAGGACTTCCGTTAAAATGGAAGGAACCCCATGGTGCCAAAGTTCTTCTCATGTGATAAAAATGAAACGTTTTTGTCTTGGAAGCTCTCATCAATGTCTTATATGGAGATGATCAAGGCACATCTTGAGAAATGGTGCCACTCAGCAATTTTGTAGAATTGATGTCTTTTGACAAATATGAAGGGTCATATTGAATAATAGGAAACCAGTCAAGTCACAATGATCAGACTCCTCCAACCAGGAATGCTGCATACTGCCATGGGAGTTTTGCCCTATGCAAAGGTCTCAGGTGAAAGGCGCAAATAAAGGTAGAGACCTGGTCACTTCAATCACCAAATCTTGTATCTCTTTACAGGCCTTTCAGCCAGGGGGAAGAAATGCCTTTTTGTAAGTTGCACACACAGAGGGGACTTTCTTTTCAGTACTTCACACACCTGAATAGGTGCTTTGTTTTAAATCACACAAAGAACCAGTATCTGGCAGGGGAGGCCCTGCCATCAACAATTTACATCAGAAATTTTTTTCAATATCACCTTATACTTGAGGACAGTGGAAGCACACAGAGATAGTGCAGTGATAATTTTGGTGTTTGCCTCCATTTCTGCTAGGTTCCTTTAGACTCCCTACTGGAAATGATAGTAACTGTCCATTCTGTGTGGCAAATATATGACACAGAACATTTGAGAATCAACTCTGCAGTTCTTTAATATTGTAAAAAAAAAAAAACTTCCCTAATAATTCTCAAGAAAAACTAATATCAATTATTGATAAAAAGACTTGTGACCAGATCAAATGGAATTGAATTTCTTGGCATGTGCTCAAACTTTTCAGTCTTATTAGTGCCTGCCTTCTGTCCATGACACTAAACTTAGTTTCTAATAATGTTTTTGTGAAAATCAACCCCAGAGGAAATGCAAGCACAACTGCCTTCTGGAGCAAAATCACTAGGCAAATGAATTTTAAAACTGGAACAGGATTTAAAAATAATCCAGTTTATCCCTTCATTTTATAAAAGGGAAAGCTAGGCAATAACAACAATGTTCCTAAGACAGAAATATATCAGTAGGAAGGGATAATTCATGCGTTCAATGCCTCTCTGCAAATGATCTGTGATCCTGCAACTATAGCTGCTTGAATTGATTTAGCCATGGTTTAAGTGGGGAATGGGAAACTGGCTGGTCCAGGACTATGGTTATGTAAGGTCAAGGGATAGAGAGGAGATTTCACACCTGAGGTACAGATGCACACTGAACAGAAACTCAACAAGCATCCATGTAGTAGATGCTGATGGTGTCCCATCCAGATTGCTCTTACTCGGGTTCATCCATCCCCAGCTGCTGTCAGGGTTGGCTGCTAATGGCTCACAGTTGTCCCTTTCTCTGAAGTGCTGCTCTCAACCTCTAGGGAACAACTCTTAGCCCAGAAGGTCAGCCCTCCTCTCCTCCACTGGAAGCTCTTAGTCTGAGTGATTACAAAAACTTGGCTTCCTTCCCTCCAGGCAAGATAAGCTCTGTGATGAAATTTATGCCCCAGAGCTCCCCGTGGGTGGGATCAGGCCGAAGCTAGCATCCATTTGAGAGCACCTACTTGCTTAGTTTCTCCCCATACCCCAACCTAGCTTCCCTTCTGCTGAGAGCACTTCCTTGATAAATCCTGGGCACAAGAATCCCCATATCAGGCTCTGCTTCTAGGGAGTCTCATCTAAGATGGTCCATGAATAAGACTTTTAGGGGGTCTGTATTGTTCATCTTTCAGGCATCAAGAGAGGGGTAGGGAGGTAAGAAGCCATTAGACAAATGTTGAAAAGCTCATGCTGAACAAGTAAAAACTTTCCCAGTTATCAGTGAAGGGCGCAGGGAACAGTCAGAAGGGCATCTCCCGAGATGGCGCTAAACACTATATAGAACCAAACAAAGACAACAAAGGCCCTAAGCTCTGGCTTCTCCCCATACGGTTTCATGCAAGCACGAAGTTTAAACCTGCACGCGAATAATTTCTCCCTATAGAAATACTACCTCATAGTCTCCTCCAATAAAACCCAAACACGGCGCTGGCCAGCCCATGCCAGGCCCAAGCACGGCACTGGCCAGCCCCTGCCAGGCCCATAAATATAGCCCTCTCCCTCTCTCTCTTTCTCTCTCTCTCCCCCCGTCTCTCTCTCTCCCCCTGTCTCTCTCTCTCTCTCTCTCCCTAACCCCCTCGGCTACAGACGCTTTTCCTTTTTCCCTGTAGCCACCGCTTTAATAAATCTCTTGGTCCCTAACGGGTGTGGAGTTGTTACTGGTACCTAAGTTCTTTCATTGGTGCCGTGAGTCAGATCGAGTCTCTCTCGCCCTTGTGCGGGTATCTCTTGCCCTTGGGCGGGACCCCGATTCGGCGCCAGTGGCCACTCCAACCCTCCCAGACCTTCCTCACCCTCTTGAACACCCGAGCCGCATCCACCAGCGATCGTTGGATAGGTAAGTCCCCCTCCCCCAAACAAGGAAGCCTAAAACTTGCCAGGGATCACCAGAGGGAACTGACCTCAAGATCCAGCCCCTCTGGCCCCTTGGCGAGGGGGAACACACCCTGCCTTGGTCTTCACGGCCACAGCAGACCCTAAAGGCTTCCACTCCAACTAATATTCCCAAACAGACAAGCTGGAAACTTTCCAGGGATCACCAGCGGGAACTGACCTCAGGATCCAGCCTCTCCGGCCCCTCGGCAAGGGGGAACACACCCCACCTCGGTCTTCTTGGCCACAGTGGACCCTGAAGCTTCCCTCTGCTATTCCATCTCTCACTCCCCTAGGGGCTCCCATGTCTGTTGGGCAGCAGCAGACCTCAGAGGCTCCCACGTCTGCTAGCCTACAGTGGACTCTGTAGGGTTCCCACTCCCTAGGGCTCCCACGTCTGTTGGGCAGCAGCGGACCTCAGAGGCTCCCACATCTGCTAACCTACAGCAGACTCTGTAGGGTTCCCACTCCCCCAGGGCTCCCACGTCTGTTGGGCAGCAGCGGACCTCAGAGGCTCCCACGTCTGTTGACCCACAGCGTACCCTGTCGGACTTCCATTTCTGTTCGACCGGCAGGAATCATGAATACACTCACCACCCGCCGCTTGGTCAAGTGCTCTCTGTCTGTTTCGAAAATTTCTAGCGCTAGGTGCCTTGACCCCTCGGTT